CCTGCTGAAAGACATATAATTTCAGTCATTTAGTGTTTTATCGCCAGATCTTTTTTCACATGTGTAAAACCCAGAGAAAGCACCTCTGTATGGAGGCTCTTTGGGTCTTGTTCCAACTCAAGATCCCTTTGTGCTATAAGTGATTTCACATTCATTGACATTGAATTCATGACTGAATTCATGATTAATTGTTTGCAAATATGTAATTATACTTGTATCAATTATTCATTAAAACGTTAGCTCTACAAAGGAAAAATGCTTTAAAATTTTTTGTCTTTTTTGGGGGGTTAGAGGCTTTCTGGTAAAAACCGGAAAACCTGCTAGACAAATTCTAAAAGAGTTGTAACACTGTAAATTTTTGTCTATTTTGTACAATGTATCCCAAACATCTTCAACAGTTCCCAGAGTCACTTTTAATTTAAGAGCCTAAGTGTGGTTGAACATCCAGGATCTCAAAATGCACCTCAGGAACCTAAAGATTATTTTAAGCTAAACACATTTGAACAAAGAAGAGCTTTAGAAGAAAGCTTGATCTAAACTTCTTTTGATAATGTAAGCAGGACTTCCTAAAAAGTACAGTTGCCCGAAAGGAGACCAGACAGTATCAATGACTAATTGCTTAAACAAACTTAATCTGAAACTGTCAGTCAACCTAAGAAATGCTGAGGCAAAATGAGTGAAGCAAACTAATTTACTTGGTCCAGGGTTAAGGACATTCACCCAGAGACACACTGTCCAAGTCACCTGGAATATTGTGCACCAAGATCTTACAGATTTCAGGATGAGTTGAAAGGCAACCGTCTCCAACGGGAGAGGGGAGTAGCAAGGAGTCTTGTACGGCAATGATTGGCTGAATTCTGTGACAAGAGGAGCAGGATGACGTCATGGTCACCTGGAGTCACTTTCTTACTCTGAGGCTGAGTCCGACACATTGTTGTAACTGAGACGATTTGAAGTGTTTTGGTTTTTTTTTTGAGAGATTTTCACTATAGGGCGCGTGCACTCGCCAGACAGACAGAGACATTAGAGACAGAAAGCGAGAAATCACCCCCGCAGGGGGGATGGTCACACCGCAATCCCTTCTCTGCCATTCTCCTCTTGGGATCTTGGGCACGCACGCACACGCGCCCGGCGTGAGTTTTAAGCCACCGGGTCCGGGACGCGAACCGTGGTCGACTACTTGGGAGTCCAGCGACATAGCCATTACGCTAACTGCTGGTTCCCGAGACGATTTGAAGTTTGAAACTAATAGATGTGACTCATGGACCGGACAGGAGGAATGCATGGGGAACATAAGGATGTTCATGAAACAAAAATTCCAGTGAGTGTAAGTAGCCATTTCAGCAAGTCTGGAGCTATTCAGGTGTCTTATGTCCGATGCGCATTCCAAGGAGTGAGGTGGATCAGTAGTTCACATTCCTAAGAAGGTCATCAAATGTGACTAAGTTTTATTTCCTTAAGCACTGACTCAGGTCGACTGAAATCACAAGTCCAAGAAAAACTGACCATTTTGGGAATCAACTTCCTTAAGTTTCAGTTTAAGGATGTGGCATTTGAGCACGAGAGACTTCATTTTGATCTGGTTTGTTGGGGCCTAGAGGTGGAGCTCAGGCCAAAAGCATGGCCTAATTTTCCTTCTGCAATACCTTTCATTTGTTCTTCCCAAAAGTGCTTTCTCCTCCCTTTGCCCTTAAGAGGGTATATAAAGCTGTATCTTGGGCTGTTTGGGGAGCTCGTGTATCTGAAAGCTCTGAAAGCTTTGCCTTTTACTCCCGTTAATCTATTGTCAGTTAAATTCAAAGGCCCCCAACCACTGAACTTAAATTGGTAAAGTAAAAGTTTTTTCTGCTTAACAATGTGAATGCATGTGTTCCAAAAAAAAAAGATTGCAAGGAGACATGCCAAAAATGTTAAGTGAACTGATATTTTTAATTTGTTTTTCTTTTATGAGAGAAAGAGAGAGAGAGGTAGAAAGACGGGCACCCTTGGGCCAGCAGGTATCACAGTGATTACAGAGCTGGACTCCCACATGCTGAACTATGGTTCAAGTCCCAGACCTGGCAGCTTGAAAATCACGCCACACACATGCGTGTACATGCGTGTACATGCCCAAAATCCTGAGAAGAGAACAAAAGAGAAGGGTTACAGTGTGGCCTTCCCTCAGGGGGGAGGAGGAGGATTTCTCACCTTGTTTCTCACTGTCTCTCTCTCTGGTTAAGCACATGTGCTCTATGGTAAAAACCTTTTTAAAAAAAGAAAGAAAGACAAGCACCCTCCGTCGTGTCCAGCCTGCTCAAGGAGGCACTGGAACCGGAACCAAGACCTTTCCCATGTGGGTCTAGTTACATTACTGCTGCATACCTGGTTCCAAAACTATTTTTAGTTTTAGTTTTAGTTTTTGCAAGAGTGCGTGCACACTCTCCAGAAAGAGACAGAAGGAGGGAGAGGAGAAAGTACCCCCCAGGAAAAATGGTGGTCACACCACAATCCCTTCTCCTCTGTCTCTTCCTCCTTTCAGGACTTTGGGTGGGTACTCACGCATGTGCCCAATATGTTTCTCAAGCCACCAGCTCCAGAACTCACACCACGGTTGACCATGTGGGATCCAACTACTTTAGCCGTCAGGCCACGGAGCGGGCTCACACTAAATTTTTACTGTGTAACCTCTAGGGAGTGTAATTAGGGATATTAGAGGGCTTTTACTTTTTATAACTGAATTTTAGAGATACTGGTCTACATTTTAAATACAGGATATTATGAGCAAATTTTCAAAGCTTATCTCAGCCTGGGCTTCTCTATCTGTCCTCTGTCATCTCCCGTAGGCGTCTTGGCCATCCTCGTCCCCCGCCTGGATCTGGTCCTCGCCCTGGTGGGCTCTGTGAGCAGCAGCGTCCTGGCCCTCATCATCCCGCCCCTCCTGGAAATCATCACCTTTTACTCTGAAGGCATGAATCCTCTCACCATCACCAAGGATGTCCTCATCAGTGTCCTAGGCTTTGTGGGCTTTGTGGCAGGGACGTACAAGGCCCTTGACGACCTGATTGAGACAGAAGACTCTCACACCTTTTCCAACTCCACCGTCTTTACTCAATGAGAATGGCACTGCTTCTTACCCACCAGCACCTGACTTGTGACTGTATGGACCTTTTTCTCTGCGTCATCAATGTGCGTCTACTTTGCCATTTCTCTGGGCCAAGTCACAGTGAAGCAAGCAGTGAAACAACCGGCTACAAGGTCTAAGTGACCATTTTTAAAGTTTTTTGTTTGGCTTATTCCTTTTTCTTTCCATCTCTAGCTTTCCACTATACTGAGAGCGAGCTCTCATGGAATGTTCTGGATTCTATCCAGCTTTTTGGTAGTTCACCGAGTGAATTTAACAGCTTGCGTGGAGCTACACGAGAAGCCACCAGGGGGCTCCAGGGACAGCAACTGGCAGAATAAGGTGCTGCCCCCTAAGACTTACCATGTTTTGATAAATAAAGGATATTTCTTTTTCCAAACATGTTCGGAGTGAAAACTAGGAATGGCGACACCATCCACAATCCTGCAAGGTGTGCACAGCACCAGTGTTGGGGTGGGTAGCGTCAAGACAAGCCGTGTGAGCTGCACCTCTGAGAGAGAAAGGAGTCATCCACATTTAAGTCAAGGGCAGTAAACTTCCCAAACCACTGGATGAAGTTTCGACCCAGTTCAAAGATCCCAACAATGACTAGGGGGCATGGAAGTAGCTGTGCAAACAGGAAGGTGTGGGAGTAGTGGTGGGAATGGACACATTATTTGAATAGACTTGACCTCTTACTCCTTACAACACTCTCAATTACCTACAGTGCAAGGTTCTTGATTACAAAATGGTCATAAATTCTGCTTGACAATGTGGCCTTGCAGCTCCTCCTATCAAGAGGCAAAGTCTGTATTTCCACCCTTTGAATCTTGTCTTGACTGTATCGCTTGCTTTGGTCAATGGTAAATGCGATGCAAGCAAAGATTTTGTGGTGGCCTATGCCGCGGGACCTTGCTGCTCCATGGAACTGAGACTATCCAGTCAATGAACGTGGCTAACCTGCTGGAAGCTGAGAGAATGTGGAGCATAATGAATCATCCCTTTTGAGCCCTATTCCCCAGCTGGATCAGCCTGCCAACTTCCATACGCATGAATGAAGCCATTCTCAACTGTATTCAGCCCCAGTTAAGCTGACCCAGACCATAAGAACTGTAGGTGATCTACAGAACTTTGAGGAATATGAACAATGTGGCTTTAATCCATTAGGTGTGGGAGATTTATATAACAAAAGCTAACAGATACATCATTATTAAGGAGATACACTGACTAATGAGAAAAGAATTCCTGCTCTTAAACAGCTAGTCTACTTTCCTTTGGGGAAGAGCAACAGGTAGTCAATTATGTACATAGCAGCACGGGTCCTTATAAAAGCAGGGGACCCTGACTGCTCTGGAGCACCAAGGAAGAGTCCTTGCAGGTGGTGCTATTGGAGATGGGTTTTCAGTAGAACTTGGGTCTCCCAGCACTGGGCCTGGGCCTCTTTCTACTCTGTCCTACTGCCTTGGCATTTCAGTGCAGTTCTCATGCCTGACCTTAGCTGGCAGCCAGGGGTCAGTCAACCTGAAATATCACCTTAATCTTCCTGGTAAAGACTATTCTCTTCCTCTCCCCAAAATTATGAAAGCTGGAAAAAGCACACCTAGGTAACCAAGTAGAAGCTAACGGCAGATCTATGGTGCCAGGGGCAGGAGGGAGCTCCTCATCTTGCTCTGTGGCTTATGGGAGTGATCCCTGCTTGGTTTGGCCTTGGTGTTCAGCATAGGGCAGATGGGAAGGGAAGGGTGGTTTTTCAAGTTCCCAAGCCCTGGGCTGTTCTTTTTGTGTGTTACTTTCTACCTGCT